AGGTTTAAGTGACAGTCTAATTAAAGTTTTGGTACCAACCACACGTCTCCTTCACTGACATCCTTCCTATATTACAAGAGCAACACAATTTGGAACCCAGCCATTATGTGGAATCTCAAAAAGCCTAGCCCGATTGACCCTTGAAACTTTATCACAATCAATCACTTAAGATCTGGTCTGACACACCAGGCTTAAAACATTCTAAAACCTTAATCCGGGCTTTTGATCGTAAATTTGCTTCAGAAGCCCTGGGATTAAGTAAAAATAAATTGCGCATTCTGCCAAGAGCCCTGACACTGTACGAACACTGTTGTCTTAAAAAGCACATGTCCATCCTGGGACTAACGGCCGGTCTCAATAACCCATCTATCCCTTACTGGAAGTTAAAATGTCTACCATTTTTATCTATAGTTAAATAATTCCGTTTCAATAATCGAAGATAGATAAAAATATTTAACCATCACATTGAACTACCGTTCGGAGGGCTTACCGACTACCTAAGTTAAGTGGGTTCACTGAAAAGAAAAAACAGCTGAGTGTTTCAATAATGTTTTGGCAGTTAACTGGCGATAGTTCAAATTACCAGATGTCAGAGTTTCGTCCATCCCCCAATTTTGAGAGTTAGCAAATATTTGTCGTGTTTTTAAATAAATAAAGGCTATTTCAATATCTGGGTTAATTTCAGGTCGGGGTAAGTACAAATCACATTATAACGATCACGAATCGCAAGCAAAACTCCTCCCCATCCACAATCACCAGGTCTATCTTTACGAACTACATGAAAACCCGGAGGAAAGAGTTCACCATTAGATACTGAACTCGTAAGAAAGGTATCGGTTAATGCTATCATATCATATTCGCTTTCCATAACATTATTAAGAAAAATATTAGTTTTTGTTCTTAGGCCACGTACATTTTGGTAGCATATTTGCATTTCATGGAATCGCGGTTGACGCTTGATTGTTATTGTCTTTGGCACGAAAGCTCTGCCGCCATGGTTTAATACAGATGTCTTCAGCGCAGTTTTCAGATGACATTATATTTTCGGCCTGCTTCAATGGAACTCCGAGTTTGAACGACGCATAATGTCCACGTGGTTTCAGTTTTTCAACCGTGCATTCGTCGGTCCCACATATTAAGTTAAGATGTTCGCGTACTTGCTCTACTGTGGTGCCTTCTCGTACGTAGTATAGGTGCAGGTATCTTCGCCTTACAGCAGCATGCAACATCGTAGAACCATAAAAATAAAAATATAAATTTCTTTGCAACTTTCCGCTAAACATATAAAATGATGTGTCTTACCTGGATTGAAGCGCACCTCCCGCCCTCCCTCAATTGCATACACTAACTCCGTCACCACTAGACCAAGCACCACTACTCTCAACACCACTATTCCAGGCAAGACACACCATCGACGATAATACGACACGTGTTTCGCCTCTACACGAGTCATCCTCAGGTAATATAGACTCTACGGCGGCTGACCGCTAAGTGAGCGGCGAGTCGAAACAGTTGCTATTTATACACGCTGACACAATCGCTTCCCTACCAAAGTAGCGAGTGGCCGCGTCGTGCGATAACAAACCTGCCAACAGTTATTATTATTGTTATGATTATTTTTAAATACTATTATTATTATTGTTTTGAGTGACCGCGCCGTGCGATGACAAATCTGCTAATTATTATTATTGTTATGATTAATATTTTAAATACTATTGTTATTATTGTTTTATTGATATTATTATAATTATTTATTATTATTAATCTTAAAATTATTATTAAAGATTGGCCTTAAAGATGTTTAACAAAGGTGAATTAGAAACATTTGTTTGTTCATTCAGCAGTGTATAATTACCATTATTACTTTTTTAAAATCTCCAACTGCTCCAGCACACACAGTCGCAGCCCCTTATTACAGGTATGTAAGACTTCAAAGGAATGGTCGCTAGCTAGGTTATGTCCAGTGTCCAAGAGATGTTTAGCAAAATGGGATTTATCAGGATTGCAATTTCTGTACGCGGCCATATGTTCTTTATAGCGCGTCCCGAAATTGCGACCAGTCTGACCCACGTAAACGGCGTGGCATTCGTCACAAACAAGTTTATAAACACCCGATTTTTGACTAATATTTAACTTATCTTTTTTATTACAAATATTCCTAAGCGAATTGTTTGTTTGGAATGCCACGTTAACGCCGTTTTTCTTAAGACTATTAGCTATTTTTTCCGATATGGGGCCTAAGTAGGTCAAACTACCCACATACCGCCGGACACTTTGAGATCGAACCGCGTACAAAGAATTGCGAACAACATGCTTTTTGTTTCTTTTTAATAAGATTATCAACGAGACTTTTTGAAAAACCGTTAGAGACCGCAATTTGATAAATTATATTAAGTTCTTTTAAATAATTTTCTTTATTTAATGGAACAGTGGACAGACGGTTAATGTAACAATAAAAAAGCGGCTAATTTATGTTGCCATGGATGACACGATGATGCGGGGATGACCGTGTCGGTATGAGTTGGCTTTCGATAAATTTGAAAAACATGTAACGACTCTTTTCTTGTTATTGTTAAATCAAGGAAATTAAGGGAGCCATCTTGTTCCAATTCAAGCTTAAATTTAATTTTTTTTTTTCGTGGGCTCTATTTATTTTATTAAGGAAAACATCCAGTTGTCTCCTTGTGCCTGTCCAGCAAATAATTATGTCGTCTACATATCGATAATAGTATAAGATATTTTGGTTAACAACTATATGTTGTTTTTCGAAATCATCCATGAAAATGTCTGCCATAAGTGGACTTAGAGGGGACCCCATAGCTAACCCTTCTTTTTGTAGATAGAAACGGTTATTAAACCGGAAATAATTTTGTTTCATACAGAGAGAGGTTAAATTAAGAAGATCATTTGTTTCCCCGGGATGCAGACGACGTTTTTTAAAGAGATCTGAGAGTATACGCAAACAGTCAGGGAATGGGACGTTTGTGAAAAGACTATCAACGTCTAAAGACAACAACATAGATTTAGGTGGAATACGAATATCTTTTATTTTGGAAATAAGTTCTAAACTATTTTTAAGGCTGTAAGTGGGGTTGAAACCAGATTTCTCCCGAAGGAGGAAGTTTAATTTTTTAGCAAAATTTTTTAATTTTTTTGGTGCACCTATATATGAGACAACTGGACGAATAGGAACATGTTCTTTATGTAATTTAGGTAACCCATATAAAGTGGGTGCTTGAGGATTCATTGGAACAAGATTGCTCCGAGACAAGTTATGATCGGGAAAAACATATGACGACTTTTGTATACATACTTTAATATCCGAAGTAAACTTTTTGGTTGGATCAGACTCTAACAGCTGAAAGTCGTCACCTTGGATAACATCGTTAACCTTCTGGCTATACCCGTTACTCTCCATAATGACAACAGTATTTCCCTTGTCGGCCTTAGTAACAATAAGGTTATTGTCTTTTATTCTATGTTTTAGTGACATAAAAATGGGGAACTCAGGATTGCAATGGGAAGATGCGGGTGCCTCCTGAATTTCTTTAGCTAACAAACTTTTAACGATGTTATCTTTCCTCCCGATCACAACAGCCACCTCCGCGTCAACGGCTACAGTCTCTAACGATCTTTGGGAGACCGAAGGTGTTAAATTATACTTTAGGCCTTTGTGTAAAAGGGACAACTCATCCGTTGGAAACTGGACATCGGAAAGATTTTTAACACGGGGATAAAATTGGTGATATTCAGTATGTATGTCGTTATTACGTTTACGGGATGAAGAAGATACAAGTCGTTTTAACTTATGGGATTGAATTTGATATTTCTCGTAAATGGCCATTGAAGCAAGTTCTCTGGCTTTCCCATCCAATATATCAAATTCAATATTATGTAATTTATATGAAAGTTCAGAATATAATACTTTAAGGTGGGTTTTTAAGTTATCTCTATTGGAAAACCAACGACGACATTCCTCATTAAGCCAAATAATCTGAGCTTTGGAAATGGCAACACTGGCCGCTCGACTATGTGTGTTAGAACGTATTTGGATATAATTGGGAATAACATGAAGTTGTTTACACTGCTGATTAAACCAAACATTTTGAGCAGCAATACGATGTAGCTTTGTTAATTTAACATAGAGTCTTGCCTGTTCGGCCGTGCTAGCCTTTTTTAAGATAATTGATAGAATCAGGCGTTACTTTGCGGAAATCCATTATAATAAAAAATGAAAATATAAATTTCTTTGCAACTTTCCGCTAAACATATAAAATGATGTGTCTTACCTGGATTGAAGTGCACCTCCCGCCCTCCCTCAATTGCATACACTAACTCCGTCACCACTAGACCAAGCACCACTACTCTCAACACCACTATTCCAGGCAAGACACACCATCGACGATAATACGACACGTGTTTCGCCTCTACACGAGGCATCCTCAGGTAATATAGACTCTACGGCGGCTGACCGCTAAGTGAGCGGCGAGTCGAAACAGTTGCTATTTATACACGCTGACACAATCGCTTCCCTACCAAAGTAGCGAGTGACCGCGTCGTGCGATAACAAACCTGCCAACAGTTATTATTATTGTTATGATTATTTTTAAATACTATTATTATTATTGTTTTGAGTGACCGCGCCGTGCGATGACAAATCTGCTACTAATTATTATTATTGTTATGATTAATATTTTAAATCCTATTATTATTATTGTTTTATTGATATTATTATAATTATTTATTATTTTAATCTTAAAATTATTATTAAAGATTGGCCTTAAAGATGTTTAACAAAGGTGAATTAGAAACATTTGTTTGTTCATTCAGCAGTGTATAATTACCATTATTACTTTTTAAAATCTCCAACTGCTCCAGCACACACAGTCGCAGCCCCTTATTACAGGTATGTAAGACTTCAAAGGAATGGTCGCTAGCTAGGTTATGTCCAGTGTCCAAGAGATGTTTAGCAAAATGGGATTTATGATTAATTTTGCTCATTAGCTGTGCTTCGAATTCAATTTGCAGGTTTTTAATTCACGCACAACAGAATCTTTTAAATCATTTCCTGTAATACTTTCGGCTGTGCTTCCCATAGTAGTTTGGGTGTATCGCGGCTTAGCTCGAACAGTCACGTTATCAGAAGTCTGCATGGATACGTCAAGGCACGAAGCAGTAGAGGTGGTATTTAGACCCCACATGACGTGTGGCCGCACTGGAGTATGAGAATTATCTCGTTTTGGTTGCCTACAGCGACATTCTCCACATATCCAAGACATCCTTAATTCCACCGACATATTTTTAAACACATCAGTAGTAATGTTTGCACAAATAATATCAAAAACTGTGTGATAGTTGTGGAATATTATTATTATTATTATAATTATTAAAAATCTGCTTACATTTTGCACATTTCATATACGGACCGTCTTCGCTCACCTCAGCGCGCAGCCTGCGCACGGTGCCGTCCGACTTGCCATCGTAGTGCAGTCCGCAGAACGTAGATATTGCAATGCCGCGCACACAGCGCTGGCCGGTAGTGATGACTCAGTGGAGCAGCGGGCGTCGCGCGGGTTGTCGTAGGTCAGGGTTCAAAACGGTTAACAAATAATTTTGAAATGTTATTGCTTATATCTTCGAAATTACTGGATGGAAATGAATTTTGATTTCACCACTAGAATCGTCAGCTTTTTGAATTATATACACACAACTTTAGACACGAATTTTAACAGTTTGTTTACGGAGCAAACTTGCACAGATGTTTCCTTCACAGAGGTTGAGGAGAGACACACACATTCTAGCTGTACACGAGTTTTCAAGTAAATCAACTCTATACAGTCCTTGCATCGAGTAAAAGTATATCACTAGAGTTGAAAAGTAGCGATTACTTTAGTTTAACCATTTTTAAATATGCACCTTTATTAAGTAAGTAATAGGTATGTGGCAATATGAAATTAAATGAAAATATTAAATATTTATTTGTAGTATTTCCATGTTCTTTTACATGTTTTTAGTATTTTAAAATCTATAAACTGCTTTTTACATAACTTACAAACCACTTTCTTCACGATATGCTTTTTTTTTTCAAAATAAATCCACTGACGGTTTTTGCTTTGTTGTTTCATTGTCATCACTCACACTTTAAACAAACAAGTACACGTCAATCACCTTTTATGTTATGCAGCACTTATACGAAGAAAAGATAAATAATCAGCAATGATAGTACAATCACGATACTATAAATCAAACTAAGTTCACATTTGTTTACAAAATGCCAGATGTAGCACCACCATGTGTATTAGTTGTAGCACGAATGGTAGTCCAGTCAAAATAGACAAAAATAAGTCATACCTTAGCCAAAATTCGCATAGAGCTGAAAATTGGCAGAGACGTTAAATACATCATTATACATTAAATGTCAAAAATCCCATTCGATCCTACTTCTGCAAAAATATTTATCCAAGGTCGAACGTACATAATTGAGTTCTTTTCCATTTTTCTCGAAAATGGTAAGTTTATCGTGAAAATAGGTCAGACAAAAGTTGTAGATCATACAATTCTCTACAAAAATGGTCCAGTCACTTTTTCTCTTACGACTCACCATTCGTGAGATATCGCAATTTTAATAATTAGAAAATTCATATTTTACATAATATGAACTAAAACTTGAAACCTGGGAAAGCTCAAGTACAATCAACAATATATTCATCACAAAGTCTGACTGCATATCCAAAATGTGAAGCTCATATCGGGGGGGCACGGCAGTGCCCCCGCCAAGTCGAGCGCGAAGCAAACACTGCCGTACCATCCTTTACTGGAACAATTTCGCCGCATTTTCAGGCCCCTATTTGAGAACCTCTGGATAATACCAGAACGCAGAAATTTTCGTCATCCAGTAAACTATAATCACATACTTAAAATCCAAAATTTCAGTTAAGAAAGTTAAGCGAAAGCAAAGTTTCGCATTTTAGACACTCACTCACTCACTCATCATCATCATCATCATTACAGCCCTTCACAAGTCCACTGCTGAACATAGGCCTCCCCCAAGTAATGCCACAAAGCACGGTCCTGAGCCACCTGCATCCATCGACTTCCTGCATGTCTTACCAGGTCGTCACTCCATCTAGTGGGGGGTCGCCCTACACTACGCCTACCGGTACGAGGCTGCCACTCGAGAACCTTTCTTCCCCATCGGTTATCGGTTCTTCGAGCTATATGGCCGGCCCATTGCCACTTCAGCTTACTAATCCGTTGGGCTATGTCGGTCACTCTGGTTTTACTGCGGATATCCTCATTTCTGAGTCTATCACGCAGAGAAACTCCGAGCATAGCCCTCTCCATAGCTCGCTGAGCGACCTTAAGCGTCCTCATACGGCCAGCAGTGAAGGACCACGTCTCAGATCCGTAAGTCATCACTGGCAACACGCACTGGTTGTACAATCTAGTTTTTAGAGATTGAGGTATACCTGACGAAAAGATATGCCGTAATTTCCCGAACGCTGCCCAGCCGAGTTGAATCCGTCGATTGACCTCTCGGTCGAAGTTGGACTTACCTAGTCGGACTATTTGTCCCAGGTAAACGTATTCGTCAACAACTTCGAGCATAGTGCTCCCAACAACTACCGGCATAGGTGTGACATGGACATTGAACATGATCTTTGTTTTGTCCATGTTCATCTTAAGACCTATCCGTTGGGAGGCACTATTGAGGTCATTGAGCATAGTGCTTAAGTCCTCCAGCGATTCTGCCATAAGGACTATATCGTCGGCAAATCGAAGGTGAGTGATGTACTCGCCATTGATGTCAATACCGTATCCTTTCCAGTCCAGTAGCTTGAAAACGTCTTCCAATGCAGCGGTGAAGAGTTTCGGGGATATAACGTCACCCTGTCTTACACCTCTCTGCAGTTGGATAGGTTTCGAGCTCTGGTTCTGTACTCGGATAGCCATCGTAGCCCTACTGTACAAACACTTCAGCACTTCGATATACCGACAGTCAACTTGGCACCGCTGAAGGGACTGTAGCACCGCCCAAATTTCGACGGAATCAAAGGCTTTCTCATAGTCCACATACGCCAGGCAAAGTGGCAGATTGTACTCTTCAGTCTTCTGTACAATCTGCCGCAGGGTATGTATGTGGTCTATGGTACTGAAGCCTTTTCGGAAACCGGCTTGTTCGGGAGGCTGGAAGTCGTCAAGTCTGCGTGCGAGACGATTCGTAATGACTCTCGAAAACAGCACGTAGACGCGGCTCAGAAGGGAAATCGGTCTGTAGTTCTTTAAGAGAGCGTTGTCGCCTTTCTTAAAGAACAAGACCACCGCACTTCTGCTCCACGCCTCTGGAGTAGTGCCACCATGGAGGACGGAATTGAAGAGCTTCCGAAGGACTTCAAGTACCGGTGTTCCACCCGCTTTCAGAAGCTCCGCTGTAATTCCATCCTCGCCTGGGGCCCTGCCGTTTTTAAGGTGCTGGAGAGCCATTCTAATCTCGCTTAGACTGACGTCCGGGATATCATCGGAATAGTGTCGGATAAGACTTGCTCTTGGATCGTTACTCACACTTACGTGTGGCTCCAACGATGATGTGTACAGCTGCCCATAGAACCTCTCAATCTCACTCAAAATCTCAGGTGTCCCGGAAACGATGTTGCCACACTCAGTCTTCAGCTTTGACAGTTGGCTCTTTCTGGCAGACAGATCTCTGGCAAAGACTTTGGAGCCCTAATTTCGCTCGATCGCTTCTTTAATACGAGAAGTATTAAAGTTGCGTAAGTCTCGCCGCATGCATTTGGAGATCTGTCTGTTCAGTTGCCTGTATGCTGTCAAATCTGTTGACGATTGCAGCCTCATCTCCCGTCTAACAGCCATGAGATTAAGAGTGTGATCGGAGAGTTTTTGTGTTCTTCTGCGGCGGGTCTTGCAGAACTTAGCTCCGACCGCATGGACAGTTTCCACGAGCTTGTCGTTCATATCGTCCACTGCATTGCAATCTTCTAGGCACTGGAAGCGGTTACGTAACTCGAGCTGAAAGGTTTCGGGATTCTGGATTAGAGCACGAGGGGGATGGAGCGTTGACTTCATTAGACGAGACCTCTCCAACTTAACGTTTAGGTTCAGTGTGCCTCTAACCATTCGGTGATCGCTGCCAGTTTTCACCCTTGCGATCACTGAGACATCACTGAACAGTTGGCGTCTGGTCGTCATAATGAAGTCAATCTCATTTTTTGTCGAACCGTCGGGGCTCGACCAGGTCCACTTCCTGTGGGGCCGCTTCTGGAAGAAAGAGTTCATCATAAAGAGTCCCTCTTTCTCCATAAAGTCGGCCAGCTGCTGGCCCCTTCGGTTCCGTTGCCCTACTCCAAATTTCCCTACCTTCAGCTCACCGGTTTCTCTTGTGCCCAGTTTTGCGTTGAAGTCTCCCATCAACACCGTGTAGTAGGTTTTGGAGGAATGTATGGCTCTGGAAATATCCTCATACATTTCCTCCACCTCCTCATCGGGATGTGCCGAGGTTGGTGCGTAAACCTGAATGACCTTCAGCGAATACCGTTTGGTGATTCTGAGTATCAGGTACGCGACCCTCGTCGACACACTCCCAATCTTTACAACGTTGTTGACGAGAGATTTGTGGACGATAAATCCGACACCTCCTTGGGACAGATGGTCGCCCTCCCGGTGATAGAACAAGTTGCCGGACTCGAGGATTGCCGTGTCCTCCCCCTCTCTTCGGACCTCGGATAATCCAATAATATGCCAGCGCAACTTGTCTACCTCTTCTTCCAGCTCCAGTATCTTCTCGTCAGTCCTCAGGGTGCGTGCGTTATATGTTGCCAGGTCGAGTCGTCGTAGGTGGCAACCGAACCTCCACCGGAGATTCTTAGCACCCCCTGCCCCGCCGTTACCATGGTCGCCACCGTAGCCAGGAATAGCGGGGCCGCCGGGGACTGGGGGCCGTCTGTTTGTGTATTTATTCATTGGGGGGTTATTTGCCATAGTTGCCACGCTTGGCGAGCGGGTTGGCAACCGCAGTTTTTTATTACGTCACAGTTGTCATCAGGAAGACGCTGCTGCCCATCTCCTGCCTGTCTCCCTCTGTCGCCTCTTACGACACCCACGGGAAGATATGGGGTAGTGGATATTCTTAACCGCCACTACACGGCTCACTCACTCACGATCATCAAAATAGAACTAGTACTTCCCATAAACTCAGAGAGCTGAAATTTGGTACAGAGTTAGGGTTTAATGGCCACATAAAGGGAAAACTATAAAAACTAGGATAATCGAACATCTGGAG